AAAAAAAAGAAGTTATGTGCCTTTGTGCCCCAACATGAAGCCCCTTGAGCCTCCAAGACACTGAGCCTCACTAAGGGCAGGGGGTCCCCTTCATCCCAGCAGCCAGTTGAGTAGTAGTGATGGAAGTGAGCTGAAAAAAAAAAGCATAAGAGAAAAAGCTAAAATCCTTAGCTTACTGCAGTGCAACAGTACAAGTATCATTTCCAGCAACTGAGCCTTTGAGGAGAATTCAGCCCAGGACTGGCACATCTAGTCCCCTGCTTTGTTACCTCTCATCCCTGCACTCCAGGGAAGGGCCATGCAAGCAGGAGAAGACTCCCTTCCAAGGAAGCTTCCAGGGAAAGGAGGCTGTGGGCAGCAAGCAGAGACCTCCCATCTCTCCCCATCACCCCCAAGACCACCATGAGGCACCACCTGACACAGCAACAGGCAGGGAGAGGATGCAAGGGTAGCTATGCTCCTAGGCTTCAGCCGGCCATGAAATAGCAGATTATCACTCTATATCCCAACCCCTATCACCCCATGCTCTGGGTGAGGGCTCTTGTCCTCACAGAACCCCATTTAGGACTATCTTGGCAAGGCCTGCTGCTGCCCAGAAGAGGAGACCATGCACCACCATGGAAGAGGGACAAAGGAGAACTGCAGCCGAAACTTCTGTTTTTACAAAGTTTATTAAAGTTAAATATACAAACTTTATTTACAGACTTAGACAACCCCATGGAGAACCTGCAGCCTTCAAGGAGCAGGGCTACAGTTCAGACTCAGGTAAGGAGTGACCTTGCAGCATCTCTCTCTACACAACCCCCTCTCCAGACTCCACCTGGGGCAGCTTCACTCAGGCAGAGCTCTTCTGCCACTGCTCATGAACATCCTCAGGCCCCTGCAAGATGGAGAGGAAGGAGTCAGTGCCCCAAAGTCACAGCTGGCCACAGTGCTGCAGGCCCCAGAAGATCCAGCACCCACTGCTGCTGCTAGCAATGGCCAATGCTGCACCCAAGGCAATGCTTGCACCCTTCTGAAGGCCACTTGCCTCTTCAGAAGCTGCCCAGAAGCCTTGGTTTTCCATTTCCATGGTTTGGGTCCCAGCTTCAGGGTCCCTCCTGTCCCAGAGGGCTGCCATGTCCTGCCAGCCAAACCGCTGGTTCCTCAGGCACTGCAGAGAGGAAAGCACCACAGCTGTCAAGACCAGGGCTGCTTTGCTGGTCCCTCACCCCAGCTGTCCCAAACAGTGACACAAACAGCTTTTGCACAAGCTGCTCTATTTGCCTCTGCAGGACAACCCTCCTGCCACCCTCGAGGGTCACTGTTTGAGCCCACATACCTATAGACCAGCAGCTGCATCATCACACAGACAAGATGGACTGATATAACCCTTACCACCAGCAGGACGATGGGGATAGTAATGATGCCAAGGCCACACATGACAATGATCACCACTCCATACTCAGGAAAGCCCAGATCAGATGGGGGAGGCTCCAAAGTGTTCTCTAGAGCAGGGCACAGCAGTCAACACCCTTCCTGCACAGGACTGGAGCTCTACCATGTTACTGCATGACCCCCTCCCCCCACCCCAGCCCCTTACCTCCTACAGCAAGGGAATATGGGTCCACCTGGAAGCCTGAACCTGCCAGAGCCTTGTCTGGCCCAACTGAGACAGCAAGTGCCTCCAAAACCTCCTGACTAGATGGAGCAGGGTGCTGGAAGATCACATCACCATGACAGATCACAGATCCAGGCCTGTGGAAAAGAATGGAAGAGCCTCTCTGTGACTTGGCAATAGTCCATACTTCCCACCCAAAACATTGTCCCTTCCTTCAGCTATGAGCCATTAAATTAGCATATGCTTCTGGGGATGTTAAGGGCATAAACATTCCTGGGAGTTTAAAGTTGGTATTCCTCATGCACTGGGCAGCTCAAAAGCCTGAGGTTGGGCTCGGCTGCCTGCTGCAAACCAACCAAGGGTGAAGGCAGTAGGCTTGAAACTGGGATTTGTTGAATAATGCATATTTAGTGAGACATCCCTGAATCTACATCCTCTCTCCCCTCCCTCTATCTCCACTCCATAAGTCCTTCTGACCCTCCTACTCACAGGAATCCTTTTATGACTGCTTGTAGGAAGGTCCTGTAGTCTTTCAGGGCTCTTCCCACCTGGAAAAGAGTTTTTTTTGCTCAGCTCTCCACCAGCCTTTGAGCTTTCTGCCCCACCAGACCACCACTCCCATAGCCACCAGGCAGGAGGGGGACAGATGAGACCATCTGTGGTCCTGAGCACTTCCATGTCCCTGGTTGCATTGTGTGGTCTGGACTGAAACAGTCAGCAACAAGAGAATCCTAGCCCTGGAGTCCCTGGGGATAGTGTCTTCCCATAGACAGGTCACAGCAGAACTCTTTCTTCCCACAGAAGGGATTCGAGTATTCTTAGCTGCCATTAGAACAAATTTGTCCTTAATCTTTTTGAGAAAAGGCTTCAAAGACCTCAGGATCTGGCTTTTTGAGCACATTCCAGCCATGGCACTAGAGCTGTAAGGGCCTGGTTTGGATAACCTTGAAGCAGTCCCTTTCCTGCAGCTCTAGTAGCCTCCTTTTCTTAGAGGACCACTGCCCCACCACCACCACACACACCAGCTGTGCCTACCACATCTCCAAGGTCTCTTGTGAGTTCCTGGTACTCTACAGAAAATGGATCCAGAAGGTCCTCACTAAAGTGCTTGTTGATAATGAGGAAGGAGATGGGGTAAGTCTGCAGATTAAGCTTGGTTCCTGAGGAGGAAAGATACCACTGCTAGGTGACTGTCCTGCCAGCAAGCCCTGCCACAGAGGGACTGTCCTTACCTTCCACTGAGAGGGAGGCCATATCCACAGAGAGGGTTGCAAGAGCCTTCAGGGCTTGCAGAACCTCTTCAATATCAGCATGGACATCTGTGTCAAGATAGAGCTCTCCGCTGATCTCCAGGTCCCCTCTGAGGTTTCTAAGAGGAGAGAGGAGCTCTAAGCAAAGCAGGAAGGCTAGGAACAGGCATAGAGGCTCACCAAGCCTCTCTATCCTGTTCAATGCAGCAGCTCACATGTAGCCCAGGAAAGATGCTCAGTTAGACTTGGACATCTTCTGCAGTGAGATCTAGTGGTCATTCTGTCCCTTCCATCCATGCTGGAGGGTCCATGAGAGGATACCCCCAAACACACATTTCAAGCCCACAACTATGATATGAAGCTATTTCAGGTCTGTATCCTGCTTCACTCAGGCTCATAACCAAGTGAAGTCACCATACCAGAATCAACACTCCAGCTGATCAGAAAGGGAGGCTCCAGTTACAAGTGATTTGGTGCCAGCTGCATGTCACCTCAGTCCCCATCTTTACAGGGAGGGCTACCTTGAGATCCTCTGTGATGTTAGCCTCCGTGCCTCTACATTTCCAGCAGCACAGCAAGGGCAGCTGTGAACAGCCATCCCAGGCTTCCCAGGACAGGAAAACCTCACCCTCCCCACCTCCACCCACATTACTAATTGCCTGCTGAGTGCCTTACACAGCACAGGGTTAAACAAGTGAGACTTTAACAAAGAGTCTGAGGGGTAGTCATCTCCCATACCTGAGCTGGGCAATAGTGAAGTTCTTCACATCATATAGAACACTGAGTGACTCAATCACCTGCAGGAAGATGAGACAACAGCTCATACCTTGTCTCTGCTTTCAGTGGGCATTACATTACTCAGCTTTCTGAGGAATAATCAGCCTGTTTTCTTTGGCCAGCTGGTGAAGCTCACCAGTGTCTTTTGGAAGACCCACCAGAACTTCCCCCCAGTAGTCTCCACAACCAACTACTTGCTCTCCAGTAATGGATGCTTTCCTTCAGGAGACCTCAAAGCACAAAGCATCCCTTTGCCCAGAGGCAGATAACACAAGTGAGACAGGCAGGTGTTGCCCCTCTTCAGGGCCAGCCACCCTCCTCACCATCTCAGATCAGTTCAGCATGGAAACTCCAAGGGGTAGGGACACACAATCTCAGCATGCAGAGCAAGACCTGCCATACCTCACTGATGAGCCTGTCCAGAGGGTCTGTCCTGCTCATTCCACCAGAGGCAACAGAGCCAAGTCGGAGAGCAGTGAGAGAGATGGACAACTTCTCTGGGTCCAAATTCTCTAGACTGAAGCCTAGAAGGTTTTAGGAGACTCATGTCATTAACTGTTCCTCTCCCTTGCCTGGGAGATACCAGCCAGCATTGAGGTAGTCTTCTCTAGCTCACACCAAAAGCTAAAAGCAGTGGTCAGCCAAGCCCAGATCAATACTTAACCCTTTTGTGATAAGGGTTTTGAAAGTGCAACTGCCTCCCTGAGCACAAGTACATCAAGGAGGGGAAGTCAAAGGGTTTAGCAGAATGTGGACCATACAGATATAACTGCTGCTGAAGTAGTGTCCAGCATCTTTTGTATTAAGTAGTTTTGCATGTGTCAGAAGAGAAAAGATTAAGTGAAAGTGAAGA